CCTTCCCCAGCTGACACTAGTCGATTGTTATCGTCGGTTACTGGGTGGTTTCGAGGAATCCAAAAGCTACGGTGAGTGGTTCTCCTTTAATCACCTGCGTGCTCTGAGGGTCTCGAACTTTAGAAGGGCAGTGGAGGCGTTTGGTCGGATAGTCACAAATTGTAATGATCCTTTCAGGCTCTGAAGAAGGCGACCCCGCCGAAACGTCAGCCTAATAAAGCTCATTTAAAAACCTCGTGAAGAGTTCTAGAAAACAATAAACACTGAACAATATTATCAATAAGACCCGCGTAGCAACCTTTCACCAACGTACTCGAATCACCGACAAAGATGGTTACGGATAATTGTGCTCGTGCTCGATCTACAAGAAGGAATTAGTAACGTCGTGCCGAAAGCACCCGCTAGATTTATTTTATTCATGAGCAAAAAGTAAGGAGGAGTGTAGACGCTTTCATCTTGCAGCCAAAACATATTAGCGTCACTGAGATGCAAAATAGCTGCCACTTTTGAAAGAAGTATCGCTTCCATCTTTCTTCTACTTTATTCTTCTTTGATGAATCTTTTCCTTTCTTTACTCACACAACGGTGGTACCGGCTTACCGATAAAGCAGCTCAATCTGACAGTAAACAAGGTTGCGAGATTTGCAAAGACTGGTTACATTACTCACAGGAAACCCACCAATCTCTTGGTGATACTACTAGACGCTTTGGAAGAGAACACAACAGTGGAATGTCGTGTCGCAGCAGCCCTAGCGAAATAGCAGAAATCTTGGGAAGGTTAACAGCATTTAGGTCTTACGTTGGACCAGCCATTTCCTGATGAATGTTTTCTGTGTAAATAAATGTTTTTTAATTTAGACTACGTACACACCAAGAACTGTATGCAGGACGCGCTCTCTCGGGACACAGCTCCCGAAGGACTTACTTGAGTATGTCTACCTGGGTGGCGGAAATTCTGCCCAAATTCCCTCGGCTAGCGGCAGCGGTTCCGTGGCGACTGCAGTATCCTTCCATTGGGAATTCAACCATTCCCTCCATAGCGCGCGATCGAGCGCGGCGAAGGCGACACGCCGTTTGGTAGAAGATACCAGACGCGTGCCTACCTAAAGCTGGGTTAGGAGACTATGTTCGTTGACCATCACCTTCTAAAGAGGCCGCCTTTCCCGTCACTAATACTTCGATCTTGGAACCGATTCGAGAGAGTTACGTAAGATACAGCATTCATATTTCTATGTTGTGTTTTGAGATCTGCTCTCTTTTTCTTCATCTTCTCTTCTTCTTATCTCCTCAATGTTCACCTCAATGTTTCCTCTTCAAAAACCGATTTCCAAGTGAAACCGTCCGTACAACACCCGCAACTGCTCAGATTCTGTGTTTAAGCATACCTTTTTATGGAACCGGGATAGGCGATATAAGAAGAGCATGTGAGGCGTAAATACTACTCAACCCGTGAATTATTCCAAGAGATATCCACTGAGATGGGGTAGGCGAAAACAATCCGCGGCTCACAAGTGAACCATATGTCTTTTCATAGCTATAGATCAGAACGGGCACGAACTGTTTCTGGGACACTCATTTGGGAAGTAATTTCGTCCAATTCATAGGCCTTTCTCTCACATCCATTTAGCCATGTGCAGAGATTACCCGGCCGCGCATGTTCTCCAGAGATTAAAGATTTCTGCGTTTCTCAGCTGGACGGAAAGGACCTCACTAAACCTCACTCTCGCTCATCATTGTTGCGGTTGTTACTGCAATTTTAATGATCGTCACGATAAAGGTATTCTGGAGGGTTCAGCACCCACCCCCCTCCCCC